TACCTCTATCCGACTGATTAATTGGAGAATCATTAATAATTCCTATTTAGGAGGAAGCCACCAAGCTTGCAAATGACGTTGCAATTACTCAGACTGAACGGCTCACGAGCGTTGAGTTTAGGTGTAGTGTGCAACGAGTTGGTCTGCGTGCAAACATCGGCGGCAATGCGTAATGCCTGTCCAGATAGAACACAGAGGTAACATGTTTCTTAGTGAAAGGTTGCATTATCATAAACACCCACCCATTATCATAAACACCCACGTAAACGTAGGCCCACAGGCAGAAGTATAAGGAAAGCCTTAAGCGCAACCGGCAGCAAGGCAGACATGCACATCCTTTCACATTCAACACCTAATTGGAAATAATTGTAGAACAAGACAATAAAGGAATGCACAAGAACACAGACAAAGGAATGAGAGAACGAACGAATTTACCCGTTTTGATAGCAATATACTTTTATATGGAATTCACCTATCATGCAAGTGGTTTCTACAAAAAAGTGGATTGATCGAGGTAAAGGAAAAGTAGAAGCAAAAGAAAATGAGGGTAAAGGTTGAAAAGAATAAAATGGAGGGGAGTGGCAGGATGACACAGCTTTAACACCACCAACAGCCTAAATCAAATGCCTCCCTTTGTCGAAGTATCCACAACTTATCAAGCTCTCATCTGACGGAGTCATTTAGTTCCACCTTTTTCGTCTAATCGCGCACACTTCCCTTTAAGGTAGACGAGGTAACTTCCTCTGGATAGCAAAGGGACGTTACTGGTGCATTCCTCTTGCTCACCAGGCATATATGCGTGATGGCTATGATACTATTAATCATGGGGAGCTAGGAAAGACCTTAGGGCACAATTGCAAATACGAATGGATGGGAGGCCGGTGAATATAAAAAGTGACATTTGATGTACTTTTCCTTAAACAAGTCGACTGCGCAGTAATGCAGTTGCAATACTACGCAATGCTGGTGGCTTAAACTTTCTGCTTCATAGTTTAAGGTGGAGGAGACTTCTTTTCTAGCGTCACACTGGTGAGGCAGAATGCTTTTATGTGGATGGCTGAATTGTAGGAACTCGGTCTGAAGCAAAGTCATCACCATAGGCGAGTCATGTTTATGACAGTCGGAAGGTGCCTAACGCGACCATGTGAGTAAAATCGAAGGGGCAGAAATGTCGCACGTGGCAGTCGACCCTCGACAGGGAAGTAGAGTGATTACCTGCATACTCTTGCTCTTCCATTTAAAGAGTGTATTCTACGGAGTCAACTTTGGGATTCACACTCATAAAACGCATCAACTACATTCGCCACTTTTTGCGTCAAGATAACGCTAAAAAAACTCAGTCGTTGAGTAAATTTGCCTTATAACGGCCCAATATAGATTGCAGTCCCACTTATTTTGTTTGAACAAATTAGGAGAACTAATATGAATTCTGTGGCAAGAAGAGGCGAATCCAGTATTGATGTCGACACTGCTAATTCTCTAAATATTATTTACATGTAGAAATGTCACATTGATTAAAATGCTTAGGGAAGAGTAAGTGAGGTGAAATGAAGAAAATGAGGGTATTGAGAGCGGGCTGTATAAGGTAAGTCAGCGGGAAGCCTACCTTAATTTGGAATTGGAGCCCTTATTTTTGCATCTTGTTTGGTCGGATGCAATGAGGTGGAAAGCACAAGAATTCTCACTTAGCAGCAGTACGCAAATACGACTATGGTGGTTTGACGAATGAATTATTTAACCTGTTCAGGCACAAGTAGGTTTGGGTGATATGCATAATCAACTGTAGATCACCTTAGTGTACACGACAGCAAAATGCATTTTTGCATCGAGCTTTCTGGGATTGTGCTAGATCCCAGAGGAGTTGAGTCTATTGCTGCACGACGGCAGGGAGCACTGCAGCAAGTTACCGAGTTCCCTCTAACATGAGACATTCACTATCCCAATAGCATTGGTTAACTAGTATGGGAATGAAACACTATCAAATACTTTGCAACGACGTTGATCCGAAAGAAGATATCAATCAATAAACGCGCTAGCAAACACACAAACAAACAATCAAAAAATGAATGAATTAGTGAATGAGGAAGTGGGAGAGTGAGTGAACACTATCTAGTAGTTACGTTTGCTGGATGAAATTTTCAATATTCTTACGTGGAACGAAAACGTGTCGTTTAAAGGGTTGCAGGTACGTGGGCCTTTTGGCATGTCTTGACGTAACTGACGCATCAGCAGGTGAATCTCAAACACGTGATTTCATTTGTCACGAAGAAAGGGACAATCGACAAGCAATGGCGTCATTTGTTACTGACTAATGGAACGAAAGCTTTTACCAACCGAGGTGATTAAGCAATGCCTGATACAGTAGTCACTCCTCCACACGAGACTCCCATTTCGCCTTTCAAGTCCTCACAGATGATAACGGTGCAGATCTGCAAAACTCAATTCTGTTCGGAAGTTAGGTTGGCCTCACCACAATCGCCTGACTTAATGTAGGAAATCTGTTTTCGTAGACACCAACAGACATATCGACTGGCCTTCTTAAAAGTGGCTTTAATTAGGGTTAAGCCTTGGGCCTTCTTGAAGTTGTTTTTATTATACGTTAGACAGAAAACTGACGTAAGTGCAACACTGTCGGTGAGGCTACACCTCTTAACAGCACTGCTTATGGACTGGCAATATACCACGCTTAATGTTCGCCTGTCCGACCCAGGACAAGGTAGTAACAAAGCAGGTATCATTAGGATTGAGAGCTACATAAAGACCTCGCACATTGTCGCTCTTAGTGTTTAGTGAAATGTAGAGAAAGTTTAAATTCCTTGTATTCTACATACCTTGCGCTGCGTAACGTCTTCCATCTAGAGGAAGGGGCACAATGAGCGATAGCTAGGCATCATTGGCAATTGATCGTTGTAAGTTGGAATTAGAATGGCGAGTCACCTTAATTTCGGGTAAATGGTGTGATATGTGCAATAATCCAAATGCCTAAGCAGTAGGAGTATTTGTTATGCTTTATCAACCCGGAGGAGAGTAAAAGTGTCATTTAACTGCCATGTCTATAAACGAGGAGAAGGTGTCCTTCGTACTGGAAATGCTACGGATTGATGTGCTAAGGGTAAGAAATGACTAATGTAAGGAGCGAAAAGGGACAAGTTTCGCAAAATTCATTTTATTGCCATTTACGGAGATCGGTTCGAGAAGCAGGACTGTAAACATAATTTTGTCGTTTTATTCCGAACAAGTGTAAAGCGCAGTAGTTTGATGATAGGCGCTCTGTGTTGGCACTGTCAGAGGAAATGCCGAAGCATCAATCAACTGTGAATTCCCAGTAGTTTAGCACAACTACGTGGAGAAAAATGAATGAAAAGTGGCAAAGTTGTCCACCGAAGACGAGAGATTTGGGCTGAAATAATTGAGGCACTCATTTGTTGCCTTAATGAGACATTGTGAGATAGATGCAAAGTGAGGATAATCGGTCGATTGATGGGAGCTACAGTGATGCCGATTCAAAAGGTGTGTCAATGCGTCAATGATGGGGATCCAAAGGCATCATGATTGCAGTTGCTGACTGTGTTGCGTTTGCAAAACCTGAATTAAAGTGTGGAAGGACAGTTTTTGACAAGATCATTTCATTCTGTCGCTTCCTCACAGTCGGCCACCTCCAGCTAATTATGGGGGTCATAATGGCAAGAAGCTAACTCAGCATTACCAACTAGCTTGGTTTACTGCCTCATAATGGTAATGAGCCGCTTATAACTTCACACATTCCAGTGCGAATTATTTGTCTCGAAAGTATCATTTTGACAGACAACTTATATCCACTTTGTCACCTCTTTCTTCATTCCAATGCGACTTACTTGGGTTAATTCTAGAAGTGTAGATTTTAACGAAATATTAAAGCCAAGCGTAAATTCACTTCATTTTACTGCCATGAGTGGTGCTTTTGCTCTCCTGTTCATTCATCTTTCTCCCAATCCACTTAGTAAGGAAGGCAAGGCGATTATGAAGACTATTGGGGTTTACGATCCCGTGTCGACATGAGGGATACCCTGAATGCCCATTACCAAATGGGTTGAGACCAAATGCGCCAATTTGCAAGGAATTATCTCACACACTTGATCCAGTCTGAAGGCTGCAATAGTCAGGCAGTCACCTCTAAGCAAGAAGGCAGAATAGTGACATTCCGGATGTATGTAGGTATAATTAACAGTCTCTAAGGAGGCTTGAGCCTGTTAGAGAGGAGCATCGTTACAAGTGTATTTCTTGAATGCCACAGTGCCAGGATCAACTGTTCTTAGTCCCACTGAGGACAAAGTTCTTAAATGAGTCAAATCTGATTGTACAAGTAGGATCGTGAGTCTTCAAAGTCCATCGAGCCTTAAATCTCCAATTGCATAATCGGCCTTTGTAAGGTGGCTTCGATCATCTTTTAGGCTGTTTTTGTGCTGGATTAAAATATTTGTACTGTCTCCTTAAATCAACATTTAGTGAAACCGTTTTATGCGAGAAGAATTGAGAAGCTCCAAAGTATAGCTGTTTAATAGACTAGACTTATGTAGAATAGATTGTATGAGGACAAGCATTAAGACATGTTTGACGCTGGAAAAAGAAAAGGAGTGGGTGCAGATCGGCACAGTATGTTGTCTCAAGTTGCACGAAAGTGTGGGATATTTAAAACAGAGCTATTGTCAATACTACTCCTTTTTAGATCTGAAAACAAGTTGAATGTAAAAATCCCCTCCTATGTATAAAATGCACCCAATTTTGAATGAATATGTGTATTAAATTCCTTTCAAAATTCATATACTATTCGCTCACGGAGTCAGTAATCCGCGCATCACTGCCCTACCTCTGAAATGAAGTATTCTTGCTTTGTCAAGAGGCATTTATAACAATAACAGTTGAATCTAATCCATTGCTTTTGTTAACAGAACTGATGCTTTTGTGAGATGACTTAACTGGTTTATTTAGGGAGCGGTGTTTTTAGGACTAAACAAATTCAGCGAGTTTCTCAAACGTTTCCATTAAAAGACGAAGTCTACACGAATCAAGGTAGAAGACAAGTCTCAAAAGAATGGAGAGAAAAAGGTGAAAATTTGAAAACCAACCTTTAACTAGTGACTCGTAAATGTCCTCTTACTGGAACCACAGACCTAGTTCTCATTTCTAGCCGATGTGACCAGAGCGTGTTTCCTGGATAGAGTGAAGAGTGGATGTTGGGCTCATCTATATGTATAAAATAGACTTGTTTTACTCATTCCTCTGGCAGAAGAAATAGGCACGCCAATTTCAAGACTAATGTGTCGGCTCACTAAAGGAAGAAAGGTCAAGGACATGGATGTTGTGCTGAAGGCCTTCATAGGACCCGTCATCACACTGAGAGTATGGCAAAGTCAATGACAAGCGGGAACAGTATTAGCACAATACAGTCGATGGTGTTATAGAAGGGATTCAAAAAAGGCAAGGATCTTTTCTTTCACTAATCTCACATCGAAAGATACGTTTATGTAAGGAAATGAGGAGGTGATATTTTTTATTGTCACTTTCCACCCACTGACGCCACGACTGATCATTACCGGAACCTTTTGATGAGCGTGCTGTACTCTCACATCTCAGAACTTTGCTTCCTTTTCATGTTATAGCCTACTTCAAGTGATTCCTGAATCAATTTAAAAGGTGAGAAGAATTGAAATTTTCCTAAATTATATTCAAGCATTAAGTTAAAAATAAGAGAATTCTAATATCGTGGTGAAGTAAATGTGTTGCCCCACTTAACTAAACTTTTGTGTTGCACATTATGCAATAGAGTGAGAATTTCAAAAGTCTTGGCTAAAAATAACGCATGTTGTGAAGTAATTGCATTGAGACAAGCATTTTAAGCACGAATGATATCGACGAACGAAGTTGAGCGGATGCAGATTAACGTAGTGCATTACCCCAACTCGCACGAGCACGTAGAATGACCAATAAACTGTCACATAGTCGTGGGTAGTTATAGTTGCCAGCTTCTGCCTCATTTCCACTGCTCCATGCGAAGGACAACTAATTACGCGGAAAATAAATCATTTTAAATCTGGGCAGCGATCATCCTCGCGTGAGTGTAATGCAATAAACGGTGCTGAGAGTGCACTTTGCCTTGTAAAAGCGATCTCAGGTCTTCCCCACTTCCCGACATTTGCTTTCATCTTGTTCTACGTCAATGAAGGAATCAGAGCTGCAGGCGAAACCTCGTGTATTGCATTATTTTGGTAGAATCAGCCTTGTAGTCACTTAAACGCTAGCCATAGACAAGAAACTGAAGCATTTTATGGAATTCATCACGAAATCTCCGCCCACAAGTACTTTGGTGCAAAATGGGCTCAACATCATCCAAAGGATTTTCATGGCTAGACTGTAGTAAATGAAAGGTGAGTAATCTACGAAATACATCTCATGTGGATCTTACACTAACTTAAGGGGAATCCCCCATCCTCATGAACCCCAAATGAAGAGCCTTTAGGTAAAAAATCAGCCTAGATGAACAAAGTGAGGACAAGAAGTGAAGAGATTTAACAAAATTACTGCATAAAGCTGAATGAGCTCTTAAAATCATGCACGCACAAGCAGACACTTGTAGAATAAGCAAATCATTAAAAAAGACTAAAGTGCATAAGGACAGGCGCACAGAAGCCTTTTCTCTTCACAATTCATTCAGTCAATCAGTCAGCAAATAATGTCAATTGCATGGTGCATTTTATATTGCCCTCAAAGCAGATGAAGAACGAATTAATAGTATTTGAGCCTCTCATTCATATGCTAATACATAGTAGGTGGGTGGCACCCATGCTCCTAGTAACTGCCCTGAATTCAGCCTTATCTTTTCTCTGATGCAAACATAAACTGATTACCCTATCATCTACATTTAACAAGCCTGCGAGTTTCTGTTGACGCGTCAGCGTCAAGTTTCTCTTTTATGCCAGAAACAACAGAAATCTTCCCTCATTAAAAGCCTTCCTGAACATGATGCATCTGTCTACCCGTGATTTGCCACCGGAATTGACAAACTGTCCAAACTATTTCCTGATGGTTCTTTGGTCCTCCCTTGTGCCTTTGCCTTTTTGCTGCTATATAGCTTACGCCCTCCAGATGCTCCACAGCAAATTTCAGGGGTGACTGTAGCAAAAACAAAGCAGTTAAAATCGCTTCAGCTAAGTCTCGTGTGCGTTTTATGATTTGAGAAGTGAGAACACAATCAAGGGTAGTCTACTGATAAAACGACGCAACTTAATGGAATTATCAACCACCTATCCACCTGTCTCTCTCCCGCTAACCCACTTTCTTTCGTTTCCTACATTATAATGCATGCACACTAGCATTAGTGTACATTCATGCATCTTTATAGCTCAGTTTTACAAGCAGTCATTGCAGCAAGCTCTACCGAAATCCGCACAACTTTTTGAGTAGATACAACTAAATGACAATGAATAACAATGGATCGGGTATAGCCACTGAACCTTGAACAAATGCATCAGAATGGGCATTACACATTTCAACGGTGGACAACGTGAATAGCAGCAAGTAAATGTAAGATATTTGCTCTTTTGGAAGGAGGCGCATTTGGTAGGGTGCTTCGTGCATTAGTAGTCTAACGAAATTAGCGTCATGATGATCCCCACATTTACAATGGACAACCAATGTCACATACAAATCTCGTCACAGGGTAAGATGTGTTTATGAAGCATGTATCGGTGGTAACAAATTGTTTTGAGTGCTATCCTAATGGAAAAGTAAGAAATGTTTTGGCAAGAATTGATTACTCGGTTTCTCACTCAGACTTCTCTGCATAAGGCTAAGCGTTCGTGTCTGGAAAGCCGACAAACTTTAGGTGGATTCATGGCAGACGTAAACACAGTAATTTTGAAGGAGGAGGCTTCTGTACATATAGAATAAGCGTTGATACACAAGTGGGAATAAAGAAGGTGGCTGCAATATGCCACCAAAATGACCTAAACTCAAAAGTGAGGAAGGAAGTTGTTGTCTCGCTTGTTGTGCATGATTAGAGTAACAATTTACTCGACGTTAGTCACTCACCAGGGGAGGAGAAATAGCAAAAAAACAAAGTAACAGTTGCAAAAGGTATAAAAAAAAGCATTTAACTAAAATCGTGCAATTAGTTTCTTAGTGCAGGTAGTGCAGTTAAAGTGGCTTCAGCAGATGTTTTAAATGTAAGGTATGTC